ATCAGAGGGCTGTAAAAGGACATCAGACATCCACCTACTCTGGAAAGTGGGAGCACTCCCTCATTGTGAAGATGACTTATTCATAGACTTAGAGGACTTGGTATTTCAGGACTTACAGCAGAATTGAGTTACAGACATTGCTTTAGAAGATTGGGAGAGATAAAAAGGAACTCTACTTAGCCTCTGAGGTAGAGGATTTACCAGACTGAGAATTAAGCTTCTTTTGCTGGGGCTAAGGGGTTCTCTTCTTGCCGTGACAACCTAATAAATTTGTCCAGGGATAACCCAGAGGCATTCCACGTAAAGGGCAAAAGGTGTTTCTAAGCTTAAGGGTTCTTCACATGTGCATCAAAAAGGAGACTTATTCAGGGTAGTAAGCAAATAATAACTGTGCAGTAGAGTAGAGTAGAGCCATAGGCATGAGCTCCAATTGTTGGAGGATAGAAGTATCCATGAGGATAGACACAGGATCCAGAGACATAACCTTGGACTAGACACTCAAGGTCTGGCAGATGGACATGGCTGCATCAGCAGGCAACAGGACAGGTCCAGAGAGGGAGAATAAGGCCTTGGAAAGGTCTTTGAACTTTTTATTTACAGGGTCTTTATAGAACAAGATTTCCTCTACAGGGACAGTGAAAGGCTTGTTGAGACATGAAATGGCCAGAACCACTATGAGAATGGCCCACCTTTGAAGGAATCCCATCCCTGTAGGCTATCGCTATGCACATAGCTAAACTCCTAAAGAGGAAGACGGAATGCCAGTCTTCCTCTTTAGGAGGAATAGTGCCAGTTTCTACAAAAGGCAGGGACAAGTCCAGTTACTCACTAATGGCGGTCTGAATCGGTGACAGTAGCCCATGCAGGGCACCAAGCACATACCAGTCAGATATGACCCTTCCAGCAGACCTGTCTTCAGGGACAGGCTTCCACTAGCAGGCGCAGTATTGCCCTGGAGCTGTAAAAGCACTGTACAGCTAGACCAAGGGTGTCTAACATACCCCCACACTGCGAGCGTTACCTGCTTGTTTTGGTCTAGGGCTGAAAATAACAAAGTTATACTCACCTGATCCTCCAAGACAGCTGGCTGTGACAGCGGTCCCTGCAGCCTGTGTCCTCCTACGCTGTCCCTCGGCGTCCTCACGTCCTATACATTGTGTATAGAACATGAGGAATCAGGGACCTTAGACTGCTTGCGTGGAGGGAGAGAGACACTCCAGGGACCGGACTAAGAGCAAGCCAGGTCAGAGTATCAAGTGAGTATAACTTTTTAACTTCAGCCCTAGATCAAAATGAGCAGGTAACCCTTGCAGTGCAGAGGTAGCCCCAAGGCAAAGGATAATACAAACTTTACCCAGAGTTCTTCTTTACATTTTGTGGGGGGATTTGAAACAGGCAGTTCATGCTGGGAAACCCACACATTTCTTGCAATTGAGGGGATTTTGCATGGAGTGGATGTCCTAACTTTCTAGGCAGTAAAGCAAAACACCTACAGTATAAGAAGTCATTTCTGCTAAAGGCGGCAATACCAGCTTCTGAGGCCTAAGGTGTACCTATGTTTTCCATATACACCATTACATCTATTGATATGCATGTTGAATGAATGATTGAGGCAAATGTAAGTTGTGTTTTATTTACGTATATCCCCTATACCTATAGGCACTGTTTGAGTAAAGAAAAGTGAGCCCCACAGCGCTCAGCAGACTCCCAATGACATTCTCCACCAGCAATCGTTTTCAGGCTGCCGTCATCAAAAGGCCACTGGGAAGTATTCCTCACAAAACATGCAAAACAGACAGACAGCGCCTTGCCCTCGTGTAATACCGTTTAATAACCAATGTACATACAAGCCGACATAAAATACTACTCACATGGTAATCACTAAATGAATGATACAAGGCAGACCCCACACAAAGCTGCCTTGCTAGCTGATGCGTTTCGGAGAAAAATACCCCCTTATACAGAGCTTTGGGGGGGGGGGTCTGCCTTGTACCATTCATTCAGTGATTACCATGTGAGTAGTATTTTATGTCAGCTTGTATGTTCATTGATTATTGTCCTTGTGTAAACGGTATTACACGTGGACAAGGTGCTGTCTGTTTGTATGTTTTACTGTTTGAGTAAAGATTGAATGTTTGACCGTTTAACAATTTCCTATGTGTGTACTTACTTTTTCACATGGCTGTAAATACAAGACACAGAGACACACAATCTACCATAGGACATAAAAAAAATCATCAGTACTGTCTACTCTGTAAAAATATATGGTGTGTGGGTGTTTAGAGAACATTCAAGTCTGTATTGTGCAAATCATTAGTACTTACACAGAAACAGAAAAGTTGGTTTGGTCCACTAAGGTGCTTAATGTGAGGCAGCTCATAACAGTGAAAGGGTTAATAAATGGGCGACATTGGACCCTATTTAGAAAGGTGCCTTAAAGAAGAAAACTGGCAGAAAAAAAACATAACCCTTGCAGTGAGGCTATCCCCGCATTGCAAGGGTTAAGTGCCCATTTTCTTCTAGGATCTAAAATAACAAAGATATACTCACCCGTACCTTGGTCCCACATGGCTGCCTCTCTCCCTCCGCACCAGTAATAATAAGTGTATTGGACACGAGGATGCTAAGGGACATTCCATGGCCAAAGGTAGAGGTAGGCTGCAAGGACCAATCTAACATGCAGGAGAGATCATGGTTCAGGTGGGTAAATCTTTTTATTTTAGACTTAGATGAAAATGAGCACTTGCGTTTTTTTCTGCCTGGAACTTTTCATTAAGTAAGAATCATCTGCGTTTCTCTATGTCCACAACCTGATTAAACTGCCTGCTGAAAAATGGGGAAATAAATAAGTTTTGAATCTGAACGGAGGGTACAGAGTGACACAGACAGTGCTGATGTAAGCACGTTGATAAATAAGGCCCATTGTACTACCTATCCATAAATTAGTTCTTTGTGTCTTAATTGTTGTGATTTTTTTTGCCAAGATACTGATTTCTACCACTTCTGATATGAAATAAATGCAGAGCTTTGTTTTACAATATAAGCAGCAACCCACAAAATCAGGAATGATTTTGTACACATGGGCAAATGTCTACATTGTGTGACCATTAGCCGTCTTGTTCCAGAAAACAGTTTGTGTGGATTTTCTGCACTGTTAGTTACAGTTTACAGATCACCACATACTTGCACTTTCATGATATCACAAATAGAATGCCATGACTCAGGTCTGAAGATGACATGGAACGTCTTAGTTACTACTAGGCCGGCATTTTGGGGTGCATCTAAAACTACAGGACAGCAAAAGGAAAACTAGAATTTTGCGTAAAAGTGCAATGATCTGCTCAATGTAACATATGCATTTCCACGCTGTGCATGCACTCTACTTCATCATACACTGTTATGTTACAATAAAAGCCATCATGTCATCACACAGGTGCACAGCTCCTACGAAATACATCTAAGTGTTCTGCAGAAAAGCACCCCCCAAAGCATGAACTACACTGACCTAGCACCCTAATCCTGCTTAGGCTCCTTTAGTAATGTCTGGGAGTCTGCTGAACAGTTTGGTGCTGTGTAGCGTTATGTGGATGTCTCCCTTACCATTGCCTAGCTATAAATGGATCACATTCTTGAAGGGTGACATCACTCCCTTCGAGGCACACAGCATGTGCGTGTATGCAGGCAGATCTATACAAACACTGACTCAGTCTCCACCCTGCTCATGACATACAGTCACACCCATTACTTCTGGGCTGTGTACCACTAACTGCAAATATCACTGCTGGAAAACTTGTCCCTTGATGAGAATATGGGGCAATACTCCAGAAGGATTGCTTTTGCAGGTGCAGAATACAGGGTCGTATAACAGAGAAACAAATATACTTCAAAAAAAATATGCAAAAATACACAAGAATGTAATTCATTATTGTATTATAAAAGTCTGTATGTTCAAAATGTTGCAGCATGCAGTGTAGAAAGAATACATTCAGAAGAGTGCAAGCTCCTACAAAGACATGGCTAAGCCTTGTTACTCACCAGTGGTAGTCTGAATGGGTAACAGTACCCCATGCAGGACATCAAGTGCATACCAGACAGATTTTTCCCCTCCAGCGGCTATACTCCCTAAGGTGATCTTCAGGCACAGGCTTCCATCAATGGGTGCAGCACGACTGTGGACCTGTAAAGCACTCTGCAGCTAACACACATGTTACACCAAGGGTGTCTAATAGAGCTCCTAATACAGAGTCCACTGCTCAAGGACACATTACAAGGCCAGCCTCTCATTTTTTTCTCAACAGGGACTGGCTACGGCCTTCAAGGCTATGCAGAATACCAGGTAAGTCGGGAAAGCTGCAAAATGAGCCCCAGTGGCCCTGCAGCCACTGAAAAATTGATTCAGAATGCAGGGTCATATGCTAAGAAATAAAAATACCAATAAAGACTATCACAAAAAAAAAAATACACAAAACACCAGAGAATGTAATTCATTATTGTATTATAAACATTTTCATGTTCAAGATGGCATTTAGTTTGCATTGAAATTTGAAGTGATACCATCACGTTAGAAGCAGCCATTCTGTAAGATGCACATGTTATCATTAGACTTCAGCTAATGAATGCACCGCGGACCTCAGTAAACAGTGTGCCAATATCCAGTTACAACACCCAGGCATTCTGAATTACTAGTGCGGGGGGTGTAGCCACTTCTGAGCATGTATTGCTGAAAGGGAATGGGCAGTCACCCATCACAGTCGTAGCAAGGTAAAGGAAGACTCTGCACATTGTCATTTGTACTTGGAGAGGGTTCCAGTGACCCCCAGGCACAGCAGAAACACCCATAGAGGCACTTGATAGAAGCAAGCTATCACTCTCTTACAGGCAATGATGCCATCTCACCATGGGACTGAACTGAAGCACTACACCTCTGAATTCTGACCAGTAAATAGAACAAAATAGAGAAGATGACCGCAAGAGGCAGCCATATACTTACATTCATTGTCTAACCTGCATTAGAAAACGTACAGCCAGAACGACTGTTTGCTATGGGCAACTCCTTCACCATCCTTCAATCCAGTTTTTATACAGGAGGTCCTCAGGTTCTAGTCATGTGAAATGATTGTAGCTGAATGCTATTTTACCTCACAAAATGGCGGTAAGTGATGATTACACTTCATTCCCAATGACGTTGTAACTACAAGTAAGATCCTAACAGTTTGTCAGTAATCCCTTATATCCTCCATGGTAAATAGTTGACCTCTAGAAATATAGGATAAAGCTTTGATTTATTTTTGCTCTTTTACATAAACAGCAGCACCTTGTCAAACATATATATTTAGCAATATTAACACCTGCTAATAATCACATTTATTTAAAAAGTTTTTCTCAGTCTTTCAAAACGTAAAAGATATCCACTATATTCCATCAATTTTAGTTAGTCCCATTCATTGTAAAAGGCACCAGGGTGTGTACACGGTAATAAAAAAAGATGGCGTTTGTTATCAGGAATGTATCCGCTGAACAATGCCAAACCGGTTGTTGGCTAAAATTAAACCCAAGGCAAATACCCAAAAATAGGAGACGGTGTCACATGTTTTCATACAACTGTAAAGTCTTCTCTAACTCCTGGCCGACTCTCTGATAAAAGACAATCTGTTCCTTTATATAATGCTGGATTGTCTGCTTGAAGTCTAGCAATCTCCTCTGGTGAAAGTGATTAATCTCTGCTTGCAAAGCAAATCCCACTACGCGGCACCTCTTCCGGATTCCATCCGCTTCTTCCTGCTCCATTTTCCCTTCGTCGCTCATTCGTTGGCTGTCCTTCACCTTAGCAAATGCTCCTATTTGAGACAGCCAGACAAAAACAAAACAGTAAGAGGTAGTATGTAGCTTCTCTCCCCGCAGCCATTCCTTTTAAGTAAACATGTTTTTGTATAAAAATATTTGAATCTACCTACTTCATTTAAACTCGTCATGACCCCGCCAACCTGGAGACTGCCAATGTTGTTGTCTTCTTCTAAAAATGCCAGTTGCTTGGCCTGTATGCTGACCCTCTATATGTAAAGGAGAACTATGAGGCGAGTGATTTTCACTCAACCTCATAGTTCGAGCCAAGGTGTGACAATGAAACTGTCACACGTTGGCTCAATAGATCAGGAAGTGAGCGAACACATACCGTCGCTCACTCACTTCTCGATCATCTCCCTGCAGAGAGCCGTGACTGTCACTCACGGCTCCTTGCAGGGATTCCCCGCTCCGTTCCTCCAGCGCTGACTGGCGGAACGATAGGCAGAGCCAACTGTCAATCACGCAGCTGGGTGGATCTCGAAAGTAATGTCGGGATCTGTCCCGGCTGTGACGTCTCTGTGGCTGTAGCTCGCGGTATACTGAGCTTTGGGTCACGGGAGGACGCTAGTTTGTGTCCTCCCGTGACCCTTAGGAGAACTACGGGGAAAAAGCACTTACCCCATAGTTCTCCTTTAATACTAAGGGACCCAGTTATTCAGGAGCAGCAGTATGTCCCTACCATGGCAATACTACTGCTTAAAAAACTGTTAGCTTCAGAAATTTGAAGGAAGCAAAGCCCATTTCATTCTGATGAAAGGGGATTGTGTATTAGTGGTGTAACAAGTGGTGGAAAGCGACATTTTTGTTAATAGTTAGGGCATTGTTGAATGCATTTTTAAGTTTAACTCCTGAGTTTAGTGTCACTTCAAAAAGAATGCAGCCACCACATCTAAGGACTGGTAAGTTGCCATGTAGTAAATGTCTGTTATTGGGCACACCTCTAAGGATATAAAATGGGGGAGCTAGAACTGCTACCCTGTTTCCCCGAAAATAAGACCTACCCCGATAATAAGACCTGGTACTATTTTTGGGCATTTGCTAAAATATAAGACCTACCCCGAAAATAAGACCTAGTTCTCCGGAGGAGAGAATCAGCGGTGCCAACGAAGCCAGCGCTAGAGGAAGCAAGGCGGCACCGGAGGGAGCAGAGCCGCATAAGCCGATGCTTCCTCCTGTCACAGGCGGAGTGATACCAAACTCACTCCGCCTGTGAGGAATACTAGTGAAAGCGCGATTGGTTACCAAATTGCTCTTTGAAAGGTACGGCACCCCTGATTTCCCTGATCACCCTATTCTTAACTTTGCCATTTTGGATTATTTAATTTGGATTTGGATTTGCATTAACTTTGGATTGTTGTACATTAAAAAAAAAAATAAGACCTACCCTGAAAATAAGACCTAGTGTGTTTTTTTGAGCCAAAAAATATATAAAAGACAGTGTCTTATTTTCGGGGAAACACGGTAACTTGCTTTTAAACATGTACAGGTGCCAGGGGCTGTCATCCTGATCCTAACAAGTAAATCATGGACCTAGAACTGGCATGCAGTCAGTAAAGTCTGATATCCTGTATGCTTATTTCACCTCAGTGTCTCACTAGATTGTAAACCCACAAACAGAACAGCCCTGAAGTCGGAAACCTTTAAAAACAATCAGAAGTAGCAACTTTCACATTTCTAATCTCACAGGCTTCCTTTAATAGCTGAACTTCACTTTTCTCAAAAACGGATATTGTAAGGAAGGACAAAAAAATAAATATATCTTTGGGAATTTTATTTGTTATCTGATTTGTGCTCTTGCATTTTCTTGAAATGATGCCCAATGTGAATGATTCAGCCTGTGCTTGTTGCAGCAAATGAATGAAATGATGCCACAAGTAAAATATCAACATGTCACTGCATGTGACTGATAGTCTAAGAGGCCTTGTAGAACCACAGCACAATATAAATATAGACTTCAATGTTTACAGCATCGCTTAAACTCATAAAATATATAAAGTCAATTGTTTTGTGCGATGCCATACGCATTGCTTCTTTTTTTTACCAAGACCTTGCTTCATTTTCTTTTATAAGCGTGCTTTTCTATTTAATAAATGCAGCTTGCAAAACAAACACCTATAAAAAGATGTAAGTGCAGCATGTATATAAACACACAGTAAAACAAAACCTCACATGCACGTACAACATCTAAGGCCCCATTCACACCTATGCGTATTGTAATATGCGCGCTTGTCGCGCGACCGTCACGCGGGTTTTTTACCGCGATTCGCGGTAAAAAAGTCGCGCGACCGTCGCGCGATTCCAAAGGCTACTTGGCAGTATCCAAATGGAAAACGCCCTACAAAACGGACCAATATGCAGCAAAAATGCTCCGGGACCTTTTCATGCGTGGGCCGTTTTGTAGTGCGTTCGGGACGGGCGGAAATACGGACAGGTGGGAACGATACCATTGACTACAATGCTATTTTTTTTTTTTACCGTTTTGTAGAGCGTTCATCGAGCGTAGGACGCGCTACAAAACGGTCAGGTGTGAATGGGGCCTAAGGCTTCATTCACATATGGCATTTGCATTTTCCGTGCGGAAAACGCGCAAATCTTAACACGCGCACGGATTCTGTGTGTTTGCGGCTATTACTATAGCCGGAATGCGCGGAATCCACCCACAGAAATCGCACTTGGACTTTTTTTGCAGGACGCTTGTTTTCGTACCATGCGGACGTTGCCCTACTGTGAACAATGCACTTTGGAATCCATTTTCTTTACGATTAGTGTGTTTCCGCACGGAAAACCGCTCATGTGTGAATGGAGCCTCAAAAAGTCAAACAAATAATCTATTAAATGTGTGCACATGGGAGACCTAATAAATAGTATTTATTATGGTACTGATATCCTTTATTTTATGAGGAAACTCAGCTGGAGAGTCTACTGCAGTTTTATCTTTCAGTAAATTGCCATTTCTTTTCAACACATCTATTAAATTTCACTGGCTTCTCTCTCACCCTCATTAGTTCTCTTGTGACTGCTTTAACTTTCCTTTATCTGTTTTATGTCCATTATGGGATGACTGTACAAACATAATATATCATTAGCAATAAAACCTAGTGATTGTGCTCATATAAAAGCAGTGGTAAAGGAAGCACGCTTTATCTTATGATAACAGGTAAGTAAACTGTTCTGAACTTACCTTTCTGTAGGTGGATGATGTCTGGAAAGTTAGACAGCAATCCTTGGTACAGAGACAGGGTATCGAGAAATCGAAACTGATCGTTCTTGGGTTGCTCAGCAAACATCTCCCCGACCTTTTCATAAGTTTGCCCTGTGTGAGCGATAGCACCAACAAGTGGTTCTGTACCATACGGCGGGTCTAGCTGGAAGGAATGACTAAGACCCTGAAGAGCATTTCCAAGCCTCTGAAACTCCTTACGAAAGCCACCCATGTGTTTACGTGCCAGTTCAGAGACCACACCGCTTAACTGTAGAACGCTCTCGTCCATCTTTTTTGAGAAGGCTTTGAAGGCATCCACACGTTCTTCCACATCCTGCAGGTCCTGGTGTTCAGTAGGCATCTGCAGAGTCAGTAGGAAGCTGGCACCCACCATCTCGTCTTTCTCAGCACGCCGTTTGCCCGCCTTCCATTGTTTCTCATCCCGACAGGTTAAGAAGTGCTGAAAACCATCATACTGGGAAAGGACAGGGTGACTGGTCATGTGATCCATCCACAGGATCAAACGGCGTTTACGTTTTTGGATGAAGTCTTCTTCAAAACGTCCTGTAGCTTGCTTTTCGGGCAAGTGTGGAATAGAGATTACTGTAAACTTGTGCAGAAGCCGGTTGTATAACCAGTCAAAATGCTTGTATCTTCGGTAAACTGGAGAGTTGGTGTGCCCTGGTGTAATCCTAACAAAAAGAAAAACCGAAGGTAAAGACAAGGGATTACATTTGGTAAAAATCACTTTAATAAAAAAAAAAGATAAAGAGGCTGACAACTGTTGAGAATATCACTGTAACCAAGTATGCCCCCTGTATGTCCCTAAAGAGAATCTTACTCTTCCCTTAAGCATGCCCTCATAAACTGTATCTCTCTGAATAAGAATATTACTCTACCCTCAAGCATGTCCTCATAACCTGTATCTCTCTGAATCAAAATATTACTCTACCCTCAAGCATGTCCTCATAAACTGTATCTCTCTGAATGAGAATATTACTCTAACCTCAAGCATGTCCTCATAAACTGTATCTCTCTGAATGAGAATATTACTCTGACCTCAAGCATGTCCTCATAAACTGTATCTCTCTGAATGAGAATATTACTCTGACCTCAAGCATGTCCTACTCACCTGTATCTCTCTGAATGAGAATATTACTCTGACCTCAAGCATGTCCTACTCACCTGTATCTCTCTGAATGAGAATATTACTCTAACCTCAAGAATCCTAAATTGTAAGTCCCTGAAAGATGAAGAAAGAATGTGCTTCTGCACAGTAGATGAAAGTTTTATCGATGGATTTAGGATTCACAGCTTTCCCTGGAATCAGTAAGAAGACTGTATCCTGTCACCCTCGCCTAGGCAAGCATGCTGCAAAGTGGGGTGTCGGGTGAATACAATTTTTTTGCTTTAACCTATCATTTTATTATTTAGGAGTGAAGGAGGGGTTAGGCAATAAATGGAACTTGTATTTTCTTGCACGCTCCGATTTAATGAGCACTCAAATGGAAATTGAGTCAGTCCGCCTAAAACTGATATTTACAAGGAAAAGTTCAGGAATATATCAAAATTCCCCCCCAAACCCCCTCCATACACTCAGCTGTGCCACTTTATAGGTCCTAACTTACCTACTCCAATGGCTGTGGCCTCATGCACTGTCTGCAGCCCAGCTGGTACAAATGGGGAGACCGGCTACCTGCACCTGCACACCAACATCCCATAAACTTGTACTGTAAACAGTACTGCAGAGGCAACCTTCCATTCAAGTCCATTCAAGTCAAGTCAGACAGCATGATACTAGATTTTTACTAGCTGGACTGTAAACCACACAAAAGGCCACAAATGTTAGAAAAAGCGAGTAAGAACCAGCAAGGTGGATTGCACAGCTGAGTGTATAGAGGAGGCTATGGAGCGAGGCAGATGGGGTTTTTATATATTTCTGAATTGGTAGATGCTAAAAAGTTCAACCACCCAACAGTCCTGTGTATCTCTTGGGGACTGTTGTTCAGATCTCTGACTTTTTTTATGCTGAATGCAGCAGCAGATGTTCAACACACACACAAAAAGGTGGACAGGAACCCCTCACAACTCATGTCTGGATAGGAACAGGGCAAGAACTATGGGAGGTTTCTTTACTGGGGTATCAAAGACATACAAGAAGACATGAGCTGATTTAGCCCACCTGGCTTCACATCCAACCAAATACCACTTTTGGGTGGACTGACCCTATACAGTATGCATGCAAAGCTGTCCAACTGCCAAAATCAACAAATACACATGGAGCTTGTTATTGAGTCTGAAGGGTAACACAGAACCTATTCTGCATTTTTTTCTTGGAATTACACCCTCCCACACCCTTTGTTCACTCTCTTTAGTAACAGAGTGACCTGACGGCACAAATATTGCACAAGCAAAATTTCAGTTTGTTGTTTACAGGACATACTAGTACACATTATTGTACTCTACACTGACACATCCCAACTTCTTTTGCTAAAAATGAATGACACACTTTTTCCTTAGTTACACAAAGAAACAAAACAGAGTATGCCACTTTTGCAGATTCCAGACATTGTTCAGTAAATGCATGAATATAAATAGTACATTCTGAGTAAACACTGGGTCAAGCACTTTTCTTAAGTACACACAGATTTTTCCAGACACTACAAAGATTCCACTGACTGTACTAATGAAGACTGCTATGCCTCTGCATATGAACGCTCTTTCTCACCTGTAGGAAATGTAACTCTTAATTCCTTTGAACTTTGTCTGTTTGGTGGGTTCCTCCACAGAGCAACTGAATGCATTACGATCTTCCCGCCACTGCGGACCCATAGGTCCCATTTCAATAAGATGAGTTTCAGGCACTCTGCCCATCTGTGGCACATCACCAAGTATAAAGGCCTCAACGCCTGACCTTACAAAGCTAGAGAACCTGTTTAAGTTCCTCCCCACAACACTGCCCCTTTTTGCACCTGCCACACTGTCCTGGCGTTCCAGTTGTGGCCGTGGTCGGTGGGTATATTCAGGTCTTGGGTTATGGTGGTGTGGTGGCTGATTGTATGGGACACCATTTGGACCACTTGGTTCTTCTGCAACAGACTGTCCATCATCCCATTCATCCCAGTCATCATCATCCTCCTCATCATCATCGTAGCTCCCATGATGTGTAGTATCTGGATAACTTTGATGGTGTGCTGGGTAGTCTACTTGTACAGATCCAGAACGGGGTGGTTGAATGATTTCAACATATGATGCTGGAAACAGCCCAGTCTCACCACGGGTATTTGTGCCCTGAAGCCACCCATCCAGCGAAACCTCACTTAACAGACGTAGCTCCTCATTCTCCAGGATGTCTATTTCTTCTTTGTTCTCACTCTGGAAGCTGTACAGAGCTCGAGCTTTCAGTGCCATGATGAAAAAGACTGGAGCAAAATCCTGCAACGGTAATGAGCAATATGATTAAAAAAGCCATTAACATTTAAGTTTCATTATATAAACATTAACAACTGAAGATCTATTTCCTTCTCTTTAGTGATCTTGTACGCATAATATCAGGTAGTGTACTGATACAGTCTAGTTGCAAAATGGCAATTACATTGCCCTTTGCTATTTATTTAGTATTGCTCACAGTCCAGGGTAACAAGGAGTTTGCCATCAAAGCAAATTGTTCAACCAAGAGAGTTTTGAAACAGAGTGCAGCTAATGAAGAGGGTCGGAGAGTAAATTGTAGTACAAAAAGGTAATTTATTGAATAAAATATCCACAGTAAACTGGATGCACTATTTAAACCAACAGACCCCACACCATTAAAATTTGATTATTGCAACTAGGGTTGCACAGATACCAAGTACAGTACTCGGTACAAGTACGAGTACATGTACCGATACTTTTGAGCTCCAAGACTAGATTAGAGAAAAATTCAAAAATTAGGAGGCAGCTGTCATTTGTAAGGAGCACACGGAGCTCCTGGGATTTGTACATCTCTGTTTTAATGTACGATTTTGTTTTTATAAATATAAATAAAGGGATGCACAGATACCAGTTTTGCGAGTACGAGTACTGGTACTTGCCGAGTACTTACAAGTACGAGTACTGAAACATTTTTGTTTATTGTCATGTGACAGTTTTTCTAAAACAATACAGACTAATGATTTCAGGACAGTGGTGGGGCGCCAGAGCCAGGTCCCAGCTGCACCCGCTGCAACCCTGGCAGTTCTCATGAAAATGCAGAGTATCTGCACTGGTACTCGAAAAGTATCTGTGCATCCCTAATTGCAACAATCCATCCATTCATATCTGCACCCAAACAGGGAGTTTGCCACCGTTACAGAAAATGTATCAATTAGCAATGACCAGTTTCCAGGGTTGAAAAAAATACAGTGCTTCCTGTCATGGCCTAAAGGTTTGCTGTATCTTAAGATAAATGCAGTTGTTCTGCCTATACTGAAAACCCACATACAATGAAATATTTAGCTACAGTCATAGAAAGTTAAAATATATGTATAGCCAAAACCTTTTGTTTTGGATATGTAAGGAAGGCTTAGAACCCCTGTCAAGTTGTTACTACTGTCTGTGTTCCCGCTGGGGAGAATAACCCTGCCTTTTTGTCCTAGTAACCACTGTCACCGAGATAAAAAGCGATGGGAAATCAAACATTTTTAGTTGCCCCCAAAATAGGTATAAAGGGGGAAAATCTTACAATGGCAACACCTGTTCAGGTGACAAATGTCTAATCTTACTTTGCAGAGATTTCCTCTCACTTCCTGTTGCATCTCTGGGACAGGAAGTAAGAAGAAAAGAAAATGTTCCCAATGGCACAGGATGGAACCCAAAAACTCTGTATATACTAATTAAAATGCAATGCACCTCAGTACTGTGAACTGAACAAGCATGCACTTTTCTACAGTACAAATCAACTGGCCTTAAGAGGATGGCACACAGTCTTTTTTGGTTAACATTTTATGTTCTGCTGGTAAATTAGACCGTTGTCTCATTGAAGCTTAACTGCAGTCAGATAGCTAAATGCACAGTTGAAATAGATAGCTGAAAAGTTTTACCTATCAAGGATTTGTAATTCTGCTCTGCCATTCTTGTCATTCAGGCACCCTCACCAGCAGGGGCGTCCCGAGGCTGGGTGACACCCGGAGCGGTAACCGAGTGTCACACCGCCGAGACGTCACCACGCGCGTGGGCGATGACGTCTTTGTGCACGCGCGTCAGTATTCTGATACCTGCCGGCAGCCATCTTGGTGATGGACGCCGGCAGAGAGAGGAGGGGACAGTCACCCGGCGGGATAAGGTATGCCGTCGGGTCCCCTGTCGGGCGTTCGGTCCATGACCGAGCGCCCAACTTTTCACAGGGGGGTAACACCAAAATGACTGTGTCATTTTGGTGTCACCCCTCAAATGGTGTCACCCGTGTGCGGGCCGCACCCCCGTACCTCCCTTGTGACGCCACTGCTCACCACCAGCACAACCAGTTGCGCCCGCCCCAAGATGCTTTGCGGCCGCCCGAACAGTTTCGGATTCTCGGACTAGTAGTCCGAGAATCCGAAACTAGTAGTAGAGATATGCAAAAAAAAAGGAGGGTTTAGAAACCCTTTAAGCATCATAGCCTTGATCAGGACCCTCTCCAACCTGTGATTGGGCAAAGAAGGAGCAGATGCACACTGATGAGGTTGCCTCTCTGCTCTCTTCTCCTGTAAGCACGGTGCCAGATTTAGACAACACTCAGAAAAGCCTAACTGGTTCACAGTGCTGTGATGTGCAAAAGATTACAAAATCTGATTAAAGAAATGTCAGGCTGTTATGCTAGTTCTATGTAAAAATGCATTTAATTTGTTTTTGAATAAACACATAAATGGATTAGAAGTTGGTTTTTCATACCTGCTTGGAGTTTGGTTTTAAGGAATACCCGTGTAAAGATTAAACCTGCTAAACTGCAAGTAGGACTGTAAAGAAGTCACACAGAGTTTCCTGTTTGAACCTTTTGACATCTTCATGAGCCACCAAAGTGCCTAAAACCCAGGATAGGGCATTATGCAAATGTAGGTTCAAATATGGGCTCTGGCCCGCCCTTTCCAACACTACGCTCCTGGTCAGTGGGACAGCCCATCACACTGAGGGACCAAAAGTGATGTACTTTAGACAGAAAGGCCCATGTGAATTATAACTTTCACACATTTAAAGTGTATGTCAGGGCAAAAAAAAAAAAAGATGCAATACATCCCTGCAATAAATTCACATCTCTCCATGTTTTATCCCTTTAAAGACCATACAAGTACAGAAAAATGTCTGTTGATCTGCCAGAAATGCACACAGCTCCTAAAACCCTGTTGTGGACTGACAAAACACAGTATTGTTGTGGACTAATTGGTGTCAGCACTGCTCAACTGTCTTTTGTCAAAAGATGAATCTCTCTGAATCTGACACCAAGTCTCTCTCAGTATACTTATATCTACTACATTTAATGGTGTATTCTTTAAAAAGAAATTACATTGTTTTACATAGAACAAGCATCAGTACTTCACTGACATCCTTGGCACAACATTCCTCAAGATGAGAGAGGGAGGTACAGCACTAGAGCTAATTAGTCTCTCCCACGTGCACATTTGCTGACAAGAGGTGAGAACAGAGTGAGCAGAGTTGGTGATTTATTAGTGTTGCTGCTCCTTTATTGTCCAGTCAGCAGTCTGCAGGAGGGGTTGTTGTCACCATTTTGGTTGAGTGGTCTGCCTGAGGTGTATAAATAAGAGAAGTGGCTGGATAAATTACAAATCATTTAGCAGATAAGCCAGTTCACATATGTGCATTTCATATATGTATTTAAATGTCTCTCCGGAGCTCAGCTTAAAGTGGACCTTTACCCCTTTCACTAAAAATCACATCAGCATGCAGGTCTGCAAACTGATATGAAATCACTTAACAATCGATTGGCTAAATAAACATAGCTTTCTTGACTTACAATTACTGTTTTCCACTTCCTGGTCCTCTTAGGCATTAGAAATGTAGCCTGTGCCCAAGAGATGAATCCTGGGAAGGTTAAGTCAGCAGTGCATTGCTGGGAAATCTCATTTGTAAGCTGCAAAATCTCACAAGATCTCAGAGGAAGGCATTTTCCCCCTGAGATGATGTGCATGGTCACGTGCCAGAGTTCTAGGAAGTAAAGGGAGATAAATTATTCTGCCCAATGGCCACTGTGAGAAGAATGGGGAAGAAAAGAGAAATAAGGTATGCAAAGAATAAAAAGCCAGCAATTATCTCCAAGTATCAATTTGTAAATTGCCATTACTAAAAAGTCCCAAAAGGTGTCTTTGTTGTTATTTGAAATATATGGGTAAAGTTCCTCTTTACCCTCCTGCCACCAGCCGTACACATGGCAGCACAGAGGTGAGCTTTCTGCCGCGCTGTCATATATGCACACGGCTGGCATATGTTTTACGCTAGGAGTACATTCAACCATGCTCCCCCAGCACTGTGACTACATTGTCATGAATAGTTCCAGGTCACCCAGTAAAGGAAGGCAGTAGGACAGTCTCCCGATTATATGGTCCCTGTGACAGTCAATCACAGTAATCAAGCGACCATGAAGCCCAGGAAATGTATCCGGTATTTAGAACCTGTTAAAAGGGCAGCACTAGGGGGTTAATGTACGCTGCCTGCAATTACTTAACATTTATGATTTTTTTTACCCATGCACGCATGTAGGATGCAAGTTATCTGTATTACATTAATGTGTAATTACTGTTCCAATATCATACATAGCCGGCCATCTGTGTGAGTCACCATTTTTCCAGGGAAATTGCTATTTTGCCATCATACTTAAACTGCTCAAGACTGTAAAATGGATAAAGGTCTAAGGATGTCTGCAGGAAGAAAATCCTAAAACGTGCCACCTAAAAGTCCTGTGAGCTCCTATAATAAATACTATAGTGCAGTTTACACTGCAGCGTTAGTGCTGTAATTGGTTCTTTTTCGCTCTCTGGTGGTGTTCCCTTTGTGAGCCACAAACCGCCGTCAGATGGCCACTTCTCACAACTCTGGGGCCAAGCTAAAGTCACAGTCGTATTTGGATTCAGAGTGTTCAGTATATAAATACAAATTGCATGGTCTTGTTAGTGGTTCTGACAAAAGTATTTAACATTTAAATGTAGTGTAATTTGAATACACAAGCTCATGCTTAACAATGAGGTTGCGGTAATTTAATATGAGCTGCCAGCTTCTGCATATATAACAGGTGCCGCACCTGCTCCAGGCATCAAGGGTTCTAGAAACTCAAAGTATAATAAACATTATAATTATAATATAGAACAAAATAATAAATCATAAATGTGAACCAGTGTTCATTAAAATGAACCTGTGAAGATAGAAATATTAGGAGTGTCTATTGCGGACATGTTTTTAAAATTGCAGGCTCTAGGGCTGTCACCCTGCCC